CTTCTTGGCTCACAGAGGCAGAAATCAAAAGACCACATGGCTGAGATGCTAAGGACTAGCGAATGAGTTGCCTGATCACTAAGACTATCTGTTACTGTGGACCAATAACTGTATCCTTACTCATACAGTTAGTGATACTGCCTTCTGGTAATCTATTAATTTCCCCCAACAAACCACCACAATTGTGAGTATTTCTAGTGAGTTCTGTGTGGCCATGACAAAGAATTAATTATAAAACTTGACATAGAAGTAAAGAGTCTTGAGAGGAGTGATAGGTGTCAGAGGGTGTAAAGGATGGATTCTGGAGGCGGGTCTGAAGCCTGCCTCTAGACAATAGAGGAGTCATTGGTATTGGTTATGTGCCTCCATTCTGTTTACTGCAACATAAATATATTCACTTGTGCTTTATTGACTATGCAAAGGCAATTGACTGTGCGGATAATAACAATATATGGATACCTTTGAAAAGAACAAGAATTTCAAAAGACACCACTATGCTCATGTGGAAACTGTACATAGACCAAGAGGAGTTCTTGAAACAGCAAAAGTGAATACTGCATTTTCTAACATTAGGGACAGTGTGAGGGTTTTATCCTTTCACCATGCATATTCAGTCTTTTGAGCAAATAACCTGAGAAGCTGGACTAGATGGAGATAAACACAACATCAGGATTTTAGGAAGGCTTATTAACAAATTTTGATATTCAGATGCACAACCATGGTTGTTAAGAACAAAGAAGACTTTGAACACTTGCTGGTGAAGATCAAAGAATGCAGCTTTCAGTATCAGTTACAACCAAAATCCTCACAACTGGACTGTTACACAACATCATGATAAATAGTGAAGATTGAAGTTGTCAAGGATTTAATTTTAATTGAATTCGCAAACAATGTTCATGGAAGCAGCAGTCAAGAAACCAAAGGACATGTTGCAGCAGGCAAATCTGTGGCAATAGATCTCTTTAACGTTTTAAAGAACAAGTGTAATAGTTACATAATATGGTGTCAACTTGAGACTATTAAGAGTGAAGGGGTGGAGTTCAGCCTGTCATTCAGGCCGCAGCTTGATGACCTTATTTGAAGGCACTACAGAGATAAAGAGCTCATTGGAGGCCAGACCCTCACTCTGCTTCATCTTCCTGCTGACAAGGCATATGGAGCTAAGTTGATGGAACTAGAGCCATGGAGCTGGAGGAGCCACGTGGAAACCCATGCCAGCCCTGAGATACTTCCACTGCCAGTGGATCCACAAGACTGTCTACCCAAGTGGCCTGTGATCTTCCTGCATTAGGCATCATTGCATATGTTGTGTGATTTTTGAAGAGGGATTTATAGACTGGTATTGGACATATGGGTTCATACTGGATTTACGGACATGATTTGGATAGAGCTGCTGTATTTTCTCAATATACAATTGCTCTTGTATATAAAGCTATTTCTTCTACACATATGAGTGTCTATGAATATGTTTCTCTAGTCAACCCAGACAAACACAGCAAGGATGTCACTTTAAGGAATAAGTGTGACTGACCCAAGACATTGTCTTTTCAATCACTTCATATGCATATGAAAGTTGGACAATGAATAAAGAAGACTGAAGAAGAATTGATGCATTTGCATTATAATGTTGGCAAAGAATATTGAAGCACTGTGGACTTCCAAAACAAACACAAAAAATTTGTGTTGGAGGAAATACTGCCAGAAGGCTTCTTAGTAACTAGAATGGTGAGATTGTCCCTCCTGTATTTTGGACACGTTATGAAGAAATACCAATTCCTGAAGAAAGAGATTGTGTTTGATAAAGTTGAGTAACAACAAAAAAGAGGAAAACTTTTGACATAATGGATGTACACAGTAGCTAAACAAGGGACTCAAACATTAACATTTGGGGATGGGACAGGATCTGGAGATGTTTTCTTCTGTTGTACAAAGGGTTGGTATGAGTTGGAGCTAAAATAAGGCTACCTGACATCCACAAGAAAGTTCTTTAACACTCAACAAACTTCATATGAAGACCTTCGTATTATACAACATGTCCATGTCCAGCATAATCTCTCGAGACTACAAAGTGGGAGTTGAGGTGGAAAACCAAGAGGAGGTAATAATAAATGAAAAATATACACAGCATATATAATTGTATATAATTACAAACTTAAAATTGTAAAAATACATAATTATATATAGTGAATTCTGGTTTTTCTGTAGATTCTGTGTTGAGCTGCTAACTGTAAGTTCAATAGTGACTTTCTGCTCCCATAAAGTTTTATAGCCTGAGAAACCCACAGGGTCACTATGAGACAGAAGTGACATAACGGCAGTGAGCAATAGTACTAAATATGTCTACAAGTATATGTGCATAATTCATATTTTGTTGTAATCTAATTCTGGTATTAATTGACATACACTGCATTTAAGTATTTTATGATCTTATAAAGTGGAAAGCTGTGCTGATTAGGTGCTTGCTGCTCCCAATTCATAAATTACGTATATGGCTATTTGGGGATTTTTATGTTTTCACTCAGTAGTTTGTGAATAATTCTATAGAAATCTAAAGAATTAATACCCCAAGATATTTTTATTGTTCTTATCATATATTTATTATTTCTAAGCCTTATGTAAAGGCCATCCTCATTAATATTTGCTTTTAAATGTTTTAGATTGGAGCAGATATCAATGATGAAATTATAGCTCTTTAAGTGAAGGAGTATTACAAATGTCTATTATTCAATACTTGCACTGAAGAAATGAAGTCCTATGTTCTTTGATGGCCTCTAACAGGGCAGAGCCGCAGAGTGGTGCTTATTCCGAGATTTAGCTGAGGGCAGATCTTCTGGACTCTTACTCAAGCTGGTGTCTGACAGCCCCACGATAAAGGCAACACTGCTGCTGGCTCAAGTGAAAGGGAAGTACCACAGGTTCTAAATCAGACTTTCATGGTACAACATTCATTAATAATTAATTTTATGCCTCCTTTAGACTAGGACAGGTTAAACAGTTGGGCACAGTTGGTAAATAAGGAATTACTTGCAATAATTTCTGCAACATTCTAATCATCTCATTTCTGAATTCTGCTACAAAAGTCTTTGATCTGGATTATGGTGGAAAGGACATTGAATATGGAAACACAAGATCTGGGTGTGAATTCAACTTTGCCACCAACTAATTGTGTGTCTTGGGCAAGTCAGTTAACCTAAACATCTCCATTTCTGTCTTATACTGATGAATTGGATACAGCAATTTATTCCCAGCAGGCTTGTTGTGAGTACCAAATCGATGCATGAGAGCCATGGACGTAGGGGTCACACAATACACATTTGATGACTCCAGATACAAAGTAACATGCGCTGAGTGAATTATCGGTGTGGGTAGAGATACTTCAGTGTTCTGCTCTCCCTGTGCGATCTTGTGAAATGGGAAAGATGTCCTCTCCATGTTCTTTTTGCATGTCTTTAAGAATGACAATATACCACGATTGTTTAATTGTATCATTAAAGGAGGTTTTACTTCATTTAATATATAAGGAAAAGCATTACCATTAACAGTGACCTTTCAGACTTCTAGGAGCTGGATTCTTTAGTTGGTGAAGTTGACTGCAAATTAGATTCTGCACTATACCTTGTTCCTTTTTTTTGTTTTCATTTTTTTACCCACTGATTAGTTTCATACAGTTGGCAGCAGTCGACCCTGTTGCATTCAGCTTGCAATTTTGTAGCAATCTCACACTCTGTGTTCAATCCCCCAAGGTATTCTGTAGAAATGCTGTCAAACTATTTCAATGTATGTGTATTTTCCTCCTGTGACTGTGCTTTGTACTCATTTAAGGGAACCAGTCTTTAATTTGTAAGAGAACCTTTTCAAGATGACATGCAGAATTCCAAGGCTCAGCAAAATCACTACCTTATGACCACCTATGCCTTGACTTACCTGACTTCTGCTATATACAAAGCCGTATTTTATAATCCTAGTGTAAGATATGACTTAAATAAAGGGTTTCAAATTCAGCCATGAAATCCACTAATTGCCAATATGTTTCCCATCATTCGCCGGCTCTGGTTTACCTCTCTAATTTCAACGCTGTTTCCACCTACTCTATATGTCATGTTTGATTTACTTTCTTGATTTGTTTGATTTTCCTTGTCTTTACCTGCTCTTGCCTCCCTGAAGCACATCCTGTAGAATGCCAGGTCTGCCCCTTCTCCGCTGTGTTAGCTCAAGCGCTTCCTAGTCCTTTCTGTACATTCTCATATCCATCCTGTGTCAAATCCTTGTCCCTTGTGGATTTTGTGCGTGTGCATACCTTAAGGGTTTTCTACTCCAGAAAAGACTTACAGCTTCAGAAGCTCAACTACATCAGCGTGGTCTCTTGGCAGTGAGTAAACCTATAGAGAGTGTCCAAGACCTGTAGATCCTTATGAGAGCAGACCACCTCGTCTTTGTCCTGTGGAAAGACTGGTGGATTTGAGAAACACTCCAACAGTTAGCAGCCCGCGGACCAGCCCACAGCCTCAGGGGTCCTAACATAAATAACATATGCTATCGTCACCTGTTCTTGGGGTCCTACACTTCATATTCAGAATCGGTCTGCATTCACTAGGCGAACTCATAGATAACAAGTGTGTTTAAATATTTAAAGTGTTAGGCTAATATTTTTATAATTTTTATAAAATTTTATATAATTTTATATAAATATTTAGGCTAATATTTTATATATATTTTTTATCCATGTATTGCCCAGAAAGAATGAAAGAGAATCTAGATTGTAAATTTAACACAAACCACAAGCATGCAGATGCACATATACTAACCCATAACATGTTGGTATCGTTCACATTTGCACTGGGAATAGAAGGTGTTTCAGTGTACGCGTGTATCCTATGTTTGTCTGATGTTTGCATTTGAAATAACACTATTATTCAGCATCTGGAAATGCACTGTGAACAAAGATAATGTGTTGCTCATTTTCATTTTGATTAATAGGTTCTTTCTCTGGTAATTTGTAGGTGTTATTTGGAAGATGGAGCTTCAAAGGGTGCCTGGCTGAACCGATCGAGTATTATATTTGCGGGTGGTGATAAGTGGTCAGTGGATCCTCGAGTTTCCATCTCCACACTGAATAAGAGGGACTACAGCCTGCAGATTCAGAATGTGGATGTGACTGACGATGGCCCGTACACGTGTTCGGTTCAAACCCAACATACACCGAGAACAATGCAGGTCCATTTAACTGTGCAAGGTACGCATTTCCATAACTGCTGTATTCTGAAGGTCTGTGCTTAGAAATGATCAATATTTACATATACAGATATCTTAGATGCAACTAACAATGCTGAAAAAGGTGTTGTCATTGTCTTTGGATATTTATGATCCCTGATTCCATTGCTCCAAATTGCTATTATAGGCATACAAAACCTGACCACTCAAGACCGAGCTATAGCCACTAACATCACATTAGGACTTCTGTGTATGATTCACTTTGTATCTTCCTTTGAATTAAATTCATAAATTGTTGAGAATTTATGAAGGATGCATGAAGATAAATCTTCAAGAACTCCTGATGGACACATTAGAATATTAGACCTTAGTAAAATATGGACAGTAACTCTTTAATGATAAACCTCCATAAATGTAGCATTCTATCTCAATCCCAATTCTGTTTACTTTGGTTCTAGTCATAATTTAAAATAGCAGACTTCTAGAATGACTTTATTTAAATACAGAATAAAGGGGAAAAGATGATACACATGCTTTTACTTTGAACTAATCATAAATTATGCTCATCATCCTATTATCCTCAAACACTAGCAGAATAATTAAATTATTTTATTTCTATTTCATATTAAAATGTAAGAGCACATATTTTAAGAAAAGTTCCATTATATTATTATGTCAGTGGAAGACATATTTTGTCCTTTATAATATTCTCATGCATTCTATAATTAATATGTGTTGTTCAATAGCAATCTTATGTGCTATGAGAGTCCCGGTGGTTTGTAGTATTTTTGAGTGGAATTAATAACAAGTTATATGAAATTGTGGTGCCAGTGAATGCAAGTTTGATTCCTAAAAGGAAAGATGAGTGAGCAAGTGAGCAGTACTGTTCTGAGTTTATTTTTCAATAGATCAACACTTGGTATCGTTTTAAGTTCATAGTTATTCCATTTTTGAGAACACTAATAATCCAGTAAATACAGATAAATATATTCTCTGGATTTTGCTTTGTTCTATAATGGTAAACCTGATTTCAAGCCAAGCTTTGTTTGTTAATACATTCATTTTGTGACAAAGGCTGAATTTCTTACACAATTAATTTTAATAAGGTATATAGAAATTGACAAAGTCAATACATTTCCTCAATGTTTTTTCTGAACAGATTATTACAGATGATAGTGCTCATTATTGAAAAGCTTTACATTATTTAAAATACAATAAAGTTTTTGCAAAAATCCATATTTATTCAGGGATTAGCTTGAGGTAAGCAGTTTGTCCAGTTTAAACATTGACATGAGATTACAAGACAAAAAAACACATTGTTCCATATTCATGACAAACCCTGTTGTCTTTGTTCTGTTGGTTCTTCACCCCTTGACTAGCATTCCTAGGTCAAAAACGACAAAATATTATTGTTATATCAGAATAACATGTTTAAGTGAATTGAGATATAGACACGCTGTTTTCTAAAGCGTTAGATGGTACACTTCTGAACTTCCTCCCTTTCCCCATTCATTTCGTAGTTGATACAGCAGGTAGATAGAGATAGAGATTGTGCTCCCTGCCCAGGCGCATTCTCAAGGGAGGTTCTTACCACTTTACATGGCCTGCATACATTAGCCTGTTCAAACGTCTAGAGATGCTGCATTCCTCATGGGATGTTTTTGCACCGTCATTTGCTGATGATGAACTTACTTGAATTTTTCGAACTCTGTGTAAGTAAAGACTGTGGATCTTTTATAAAAAAGAAAATCTCTATTAGTGTTTTGAGAGTACATAGTTCATTCAAATTAAAAGCTAATAATTTTACAGTATTTATGAACATAATTACTTATTGGAATTTGATTGACATGTGGGCAGTGTTCCAATTACATTAATAAAGTTCAGGGAATGCATTAATAGGCTTGTCAGTCAGTTCAAGAACTAAATAAATGTCACAAAAAGTCAAACACACTTAAGCTACATTTTCCCCGCAATGAACAAAATAAACGAACGTGCACATCTCTCAGTCTGTACATGTGTTAAGTTGTCTGTTGCACAGGTGTAGTTTGTGCTGTGGGGTAATTTTGCAGTATGTTCTCTGCTTCACGGTTTGTCACCAAGATAGAGAAACATAGCAACGGAAGGAAGGCTGGGTGTCACTGATGTCAAGCATTGGCTGCAAAACAAGCTATGCTTACTTTCATTGTTGCAATTCTGTACTCTAGGGAACGTTTTTGTTGTTGTTCTTGTTGTTTAGAACTCACTTTAGAGAGAGGATTAAAAAAAGAAGAAGAATATCTTGGCAGCCCAGACAGTATGCCAGGGGAGTTAATTTGCTGTGTTACTGATGTCTTAAAGCTATTATTATGCACTAAAGGGCGATGGAACAAAATGAAACAAAATATTAGTGTAGGAAACAGAAAACCTGGGTTCCAATTCTGCTGTTCCCCATCATGAAATAAATAATGATAAATCCTTTTTTTTTCATCTGAGCAAGGAAAAAATCAGATTATATGACCTTGAAAGGCTATACTGGTCAAAACAGAAAACACATTTCCAAACATAGAAGAGAAAATTCACTGTCCACTTATTTGCTTGTAATTTGGCAGGGGAAAAGCTATGTACCTAATTTTTAAAATCATTTAAATATGGAGAGTTTTCCAGAACAGTTTGTTGATGTTCGGTACTGTTGAGTCCGGTCCTTCAGAGAGATCTTTGTGGAACGGAACAAAATGCCTGCTCTACTTGTGAAATTTGTAACTTGCACCCACTGTGCCAGTCCATCTTATTGAGCTTCGTCCCCCTTTCACTGACCCTCTCTCTGTATCACCGAGCACGATGTCCTTTGCCAGGGACTGGTCTTTCTGGATAACACGTCTAAAGGATGTGAGACAGTTCACGATCCTCCCGTCTACGGAGCATGCATCTAAACTTCCTCCAAGACAGGTTCTTTTTCTTCTTCTGACAAGCCACAGTCCAATCCAGGAGTCAGTATTTATGGTTCAGTATTATTTGCCAGTACCCTAATCTAAATGCATCAAATTCTCCTACTGTCTACTTTATTCATTGTCCCACGTTCGTATGCATATGACATTACTGAAAATACCATGGCTTGAGGCAATCTTGGATCAGGCAGCCTTAGTCCTCAAAGTAAGGTCTCCACTCTTATCAAGAAGAATGAAAAGGTGATGCAGTTTTGAAAACCCACTCATGGCAAACTTTAAGAATAGCATGAGAACACTAAATTAACACAATGGACACTCATTTTACTCAGCAACTCCTGCTATTAGTATTTACAGTTCAAGTATGTTATATTTATATTTAGGTTTTACTTTCACTAAAGGGGCTGAATAAAATTAGAACCCACCCTTTGTGCTGTGAATATATATATATATATATATATATA